GAGTGGCGTTCCATTATAAGGAAAAACAAACAAAAACAGAACAAAAATAAACTTTAAGCCAGCTTCTGGACTCGATAAATAGTTACTTGACTGACTGCAGAGGAACAGTCTGAGATCTTAGATCAAGACCAGTAAAACTGAACTCAATGCGTAACTCCCTTCTTGAGCCGTTAGTGAAGCCCTCCAGTGACCCCGCTCTCACTGCTGCAGAGGCAGGAGAATGTTTTCTGTAATCGCAGAAAACAATTACTGCCATTTCAGACTGTACTCCGCTTTCAATCTCTCCTAGGTAAGACAGTCTCATCTCACCATACTTTGTAAGACAGAAGTACCTCTGTGAGAAAACTGGAACTCATCAACTCAGGGAAAAGTAGGACCAAATGCCAAGATCTAAACACTAAGGACCGTTGCAATGGGTTCCCCTTAATCACTGCAAAATGATAACGCATTTGCCATGGCTGGGAATTTCAAGAGCACGTGATACCAAACTCTGCTCCCATCACTCCAGTGCATTTGTTCTATTAGGGTAAGAGTCAATTACTCAGCACTAACTGCCTGAAAAGGACAAAGCCATTCAAAGCCAGCTAATTACGTTAAATAGAACAGTATAGTGGGTCAAAAGCATGTCTTGCACAAATCTAAAAACAAAACAGAAAAAAAAAAAACCAACCCCCTGCCCTCTGTTGAATTTGGCCCCGTATTCTTAGCAGGGAATAGGCAAAATGCAAACTACATAAAGGATAACACTGGTCAAGGAGGATACATATTACATGCCCGAGATGTTAAGGAACACCTTTAGAAAAAGGGTGAAGATGGATTAAGAGCGTGGGGTGCAAAGTTATCTGGCTTCTGTCCTCCAGATAAATCACTGCCTTTCTCAGGAATACAGGAACAGCAGCAAGGTAGGCTCCTATGGACTGGAAGAAATTTATATTAACTTGCAGTGTGCAAAGAAAAAACACCCCATTGAGTGCTGCACTTTGATAATCAAAATGGCACCTCAACCCTCAAAAAGATACAAATTCCAGAGACAAGTACGTTAATTTCTCAGTAAAAAGTAGCACTGATAAATAAATTAATTTATATAAAAAAGAAAAGAAAATATTGACACATTTTGGGGTAGAAGAAAAGTCACCTTCTTGGCCCACATGCGCTTGTTTTATTTACATATCCACAAATACCATGAAACACCATCCCAGCCCCCCCACTAGCAGCATGGTCACATGAATTCCATAGATGAGCAGTTCATTCATGAGGCTGAAGTCTACCCGCCTTCGCCCCAGTAAGAGGAGGATGATGGAGAGTTTATACTGGAAACGCAGAAAGATCCGGATGCCAAGGTACTGAAGGCAAAACAAGATAGAGAGTGCCACCCAGAGGATGGAGGTAAACAGGCTGCAGCTGAAGTACAGCAGGAAACGGATGAATCCATACATCCATCGGGATTTGAGATAGATGTCGAAATTGTTGTACTTGGTGCGCACCAAGTGAGTGGTCCTTACCGGGCCACAGGCCGAATGCAGGCAGGTCGTGTGGGGGCCGTGGAACGAACGGACCCGGCGGGGAATGGGGATTACAGGCATCAGGCACCCCACCGGTCACAGAGTCCCAGGGCAGGATTTACAGGGCACATATCAAATATTATCCATTAACATGGAAGAGATCCAGCAGCCTGGGAACGCTAACTCTTTGCTGAATTTCCAGGAAGGAAGAAACCTGCAGGAAGGCAGAGAAGGAAAACACATTTGAGTAGCCCCAGCAGGAGGAGAGGCAGCACGGCAGATACTCTCCGGCTTGGCGGTTACTTACAACTGCTTGGCAAAACTCAACTTCTTCGCTCAAAACAACTTTGCTTTGCTTCTTTGCTCCTTGTTTCCCAGGCAGACATATAGAAATACAATTCTGTTTCCATCATCACCAAGTCAGATTCCAAACAGCTCCCTAGTAGCATGCAATATCAGCACTAGTCGTAACCTTTTATAAGCTTTACAGTGTTAATGCAGGAAAGATGGGAACTTTGTTCTGGAATTAGCCTGGCTAATTCACAGATCCTTCTGAATCAAACAGCAGTCCTGCAAGAATCCACCCATGCGAGCAGTAACGTTAATGTACGTGTTTGCATTGGATCATATTTCTTTTAAAGAAAAAAAAGTTCTCCAAGTACTTTTGCAAGTGACTCCTACAGCCCAGACACAGCGGTGATCTAGATTTCTGCTCATTTCAAAACCTGGCAAAGCTTCACCAAATAAACAAACTGAAAATAATGGAAGGTCTTGCAAGAACAATGAGGCAAGCATGTTTTTCACACTCTACAGGATGTACCTCCCCTTGCTCAGCCCAGCCTTGCGGTCTCGCTGTCATTGCATCCAATGGCAAGGCAGCCGTTCAAAGACATCTACTCGTTTATTTCTCCCTGTGGGACCCGCAGAGATAAGTGAAATATCTTGATCTTCTGGAGTGTTTAGGATTTATAATCTTAACATCCTTCCACACACCCATTGTTGTTCTGCGAGTGATGAGCAGAGGCTGTTAGCTGCTCTCTGCTTCACCCCAGGCTTATGATGTGCCAAATTCCGGGAATTATGAAATGACAATGCACTCATCAGATAATGCCAGAAAACAACAGGGACTTCCCCAGCCTCCTCGCACACCCAGGCGTTCAGACCCCGGCACCCAGATCTGGGCAGATCCTCCCTTTGCTGAACCAGAAATCCTATTACTCTTAAAATTAAAACTAAAGTAATTTAAAAGTTACTCCAAGAATTTTTTATTTTGCTATAACAAAACTAATCGCAGAGTAAATTATAAGGCTGCAGGAAGAGTAAATTATAAGGCTGCAGGAAATTACACTTTAATATCAAAAACCTTCTCTGATACCACGTGCATCGCTGGGTAAGTCTCTTCACTGCTTCCTGCCTCAAACGACACGTAAATGGAAATTGCAGTTCTGATCTCTTCTGCTTGGCCCCAGGTTCTAACTCCTTTTCGCCATTACAGAAATGGGCAGGTAATCTGTTGGCTCTGCATGAATCGGGTGCTAATAAAAAGGAGCATGAGTTAACTTATGATTAAGGAATTTAGGAAATCAAGGTCTGTTCTCAATTATCCCCATAATTTTAAGTGCCTCTTTGCCATAATTTCCTGTCTGTAGAAAGGAAATACTAAGCAGCTCGGAAGTGTGTTACAAGAACGTATTTTGCAAGCTGTATAAGTGGCCAGATACTAAACCAACATTACTTAAAAACAACACAGTTTTGTGCCTGGAGCATGCAACCGAACGTGCTTCCCACATGCTGCGTATAAACTGCTCAGTGGTTGTTTTCAGAGGTATTCTTGGAGGACTAAATTAGCAAGATCGGTTAAAATTCATATACTCTGGATTCAGAGCATTCCATATCTGATGATGCAGTCACTCCTTACAACCTCTTTCCCCAGGACACAAAAGACAGCTTCTCATTTTCCAGCAAACTGTTACATAGCTACTTAATCTGAGTCGCCGAGCAGCCACAGGGAAATCAGCGTGCACACAATTACAGCGCTCAGCAAGGCCGTACCTGAGCGACAGAGCACAAACCCCGCCTGCGTAAGCTGTAGTTTGCGGGGGCAAACCCAACACACCGGCTTCGCATCGGAGCCCTGTTTTAGAAGAGGAGTTTTGATTCTGACAAAACCTTCAATAGATGAATCCAAAAGAACCACTCAAACGGCTCAGCTGCAGAGACTTACTCTCTGTGAACAGCAGCACCTTGTTCCCATTTACTGTGCCCACCACATAAATAAATAGCCTTTGGTAGGTTCATGCTCTTTAGGTAAACTCAAATATCAACACAGGAACAGCCATGAGCAGAGGGACATTGTGAGAATAAAAGAAACTTTCTGAAATATTACATTTTTAATGGTGCTGCCATCCACTCAGCAGAAGGTCGGTAATCCGCTGCCGTTTCTGGATGCCACTTAATTCTTGTAACAAAAAAGTGAAGTTTTCCTGTGACACCTGGCCTTCTAGGAAGAGTGAAAGAAACTGCTAAGGTGCTTCATAGACTCACAACATTCTACATATGAGTTGATCTAAAAGATAAAACGAGAGAGTAAGTTTCAATTTGCTCATTTTGTCTGTTAAAAAGTTCAGAATTACAAGGCCCCTCCCCAAGCATGAATTTTCAATCCCATCAAGATTCTAAAAATGCGCTCAATAATATATGTATTACAGCTTACTGACACAGGCTGGAAAGGATCAGCTAGCTTGTATTCAATGCTATACACAAAGACAGGAAAGAGAAAAATCACGGATACAGAACTCGTGTCAGTCACCTTCTCCTATCACAGAACCATCACCGTCCATCCAGGGCGTATGAAACACGATGCAGAGAGCACACACAGCCAAACAGAACACGGAGGAGCAGGCCCCCAAACCTGTATGTTGGCACGGGACGCCTAGACACAGATCTGGACACCCATTCCTCAAGATTATTTTTTGAGGCCTATCTGTTTTAAAGCACATGGCTGTGAGGCTGGAAAGCTGAGTCGGTCTCTTCTGGGTATCATCCTACAGCTCAAAGGGTTTCAACTCTAAGGCGCAGGCAACTCGATGTCAGCCATGCTGCCGTTACCCCAGCATCACGTTAGCGATGGCCTCATCGGGAAGTTAAAAATCTGGATAACTATTCAGTTACACTGGACACTTTTAAGACTCAGCTAGACAGGGTGCTGGGCCATCTCGTCTAGACTGCGCTCTTGCCTAGAAAGGTTGGACCAGATGATGCTTGAGGTCCCTTCCCACCTGGTATTCTATGATTCTATGATTCATTTTGGTGAGTTTTCACTCCCTCTCCTTTAAAAATGGAGTGTATGATGAGAACGCTACCGAAAAACAGTGCTGCTTCTCTTCATCTATCACACATTCCAGGCAAGGGCTGCTGTTGCTCAGGGCACTCATAATTGGTGCAGGAGGAGGGAGGACAGAAAGACGGCAAGGTTCACAGATGACAGGACCATCAGTCAGGACCAGCGGGACCCAAGCGTTGCAGAAGGAGCCGAACAAGGTGAGGGACAATGACAAATAAAGGTTAGTGCTGATAAACGAAAGCCGGGACTACCGGAAGGAGGGGAAATTCGAACTCCTCCTACATCCTACCAGATCCTAAATTAAACCGCATCGACTTGGGAAAGCAGCTGCCGGCAGGACGCTCGGCCAGGACCTCCCCGGGGCCTGCGAGGCCCAAACTCCGGCCCAGGCACCGCCGAGCCCCGCAGACCGGGG